CGCGCCGAGCCCCGGCCCGTCCGATGCCAACGGCCGTGTCCCGGCGCCGTTCCCGCAGGAATACCTCAACAGCATCCTGCAGCACGCCAAGGACTTCAAGGAATATCACCGGAGCGTGAGCGGGAAGATCCAGAAGCTGACGAAGGCGGTGGCCACGTACCACGCCAACACCGAGCGCGAGCAGAAGAAGGAGAACGAGCGCATCGAGAAGGAGCGGATGCGGCGCCTCATGGTCAGGGGGGTCATGGGGTCGGGGGGTCATGGGGGGGTCAAGGGTCGGGTCAAGGGTCAGGGGGGGTCAGGGGGACCTTCCTCCTGTCCGTGGGGTGAGGGTGAGGGAGGGCACCGCGGGGAGTCCGGTTGTGCTCGGGGTGTTCCCTGGTGGTCCCAGGTGTATCCAGGTGATCCCCAGTGATTCCAGGTGTATCCCAGGTGTTCGGGGTGTATCCTAGGTATTCAGGGTGTATCCCAGGTGTTCAGGGTGTATCCCAGGTGACCATAGTACCCCCTCCATGCCGAGGATGAGGAGGGGGATGCTCAGGGTGTATCCCAGATATTCAGGGTGTATCCCAAGTGTTCAGGGTGTATCCCAGGTGTATCCCAGGTGTTCAGGGTGTATCCCAGGTGACCATAGTACCCCCTCCATGCTGAGGATGAGGAGAGGGATGTTCAGGGTGTATCCCAGATGTTCAGGGTGTATCCCAAGTGTTCAGGGTGTATCCCAGGTGTTCAGGGTGTATCCCAGGTGCTCCCAGGTGACCCCAGTGCCCCCCCCCCAGGCCAAGGATGAGGAAGGGGATGTTCAGGGTGTATCCCAGGTGTATCCCAGGTGTTCAGGGTGTATCCCAGGTATTCAGGGTGTATCCCAGGTGTTCAGGGTGTATCCCAGGTGACCCCAGGTGTTCAGGGTGTATCCCAGGTGTATCCCAGGTGCTCCCAGGTGCTCCCAGGTGACCCCAGTGCCCCCCCCAGGCCGAGGATGAGGAGGCGATTGTTCAGGGTGTTTCCCAGGTGCTCCCAGGTGTTCAGGGTGTATCCCAGGTGTATCCCAGGTGTTCAGGGTGTTTCCCAGGTGCTCCCAGGTGTTCAGGGTGTATCCCAGGTGTATCCCAGGTGCTCCCAGGTGCTCCCAGGTGACCCCAGTGCCCCCCCAGGCCGAGGATGAGGAGGGTTACCGCAAGCTGATCGACCAGAAGAAGGACAAGCGCCTGGCCTACCTGCTGCAGCAGACGGACGAGTACGTGGCCAACCTGACCGAGCTGGTGAGGCAGCACAAGGCGGCCCAGGTGGCCAAGGAGAAGAAGAAGAAGAAGAAGAAGAAGGTGGGAGGAAGGAGGAGCCCCAGGAAAGGCACCGGGGAGGCTCCCGGAGGGAGCTCTGGGGCCACCGCCCGGCCTGACCTTCCTCTTGCTTCTCCTTCCTCCTGCTTCTCCTTCCTCTTCCTCTTGCTTCTCCTTCCTCCTGCTTCTCCTTCTCCTTCCTCTTGCTTCTCCTTCCTCTTCCTCTTGCTTCTCCTTCTCCTTTCTCTTGCTTCTCCTTCCCCTCCTGCTTCTCCTTCTCCTTCCTCTTGCTTCTCCTTCCCCTCCTGCTCTTCCTGCTTCTCCTCTTTGTTTCCTTTCTTTTTGTTTTTTTCCTGTTTCTGTTTCTCCTCTTTCTTTCCTTTCTCTTCCTTTTTTCATGTTTCTGTTTCTCCTCTTTCTTTCCTTTCTCTTTTTTTTTCCTCTTTCTGTTTTTCCTTTTTTTCTTTTCCTTTTTTCCTCTTTCTTTCTCTTCCTTCCTTTCTGTTCCTTTTTCTCTTTGTCGTCTTTTTTTCTCCGTTTTTCCCTTTTCTCTTCCTTCTCTTTTTTTTCTTCTTTCTTCCTCTTCCTTTTTCCATTTTTCCTCTCTCTCTCTCTGTTTTCTTTTTCCTCTCCTTGTTTTCTCTCTTCTCTCTGATTTTTTCTTCTTTATTTTTTCCTTCTCTTTCTCTTACTCCTTTTTCTTCCTATTTCTTTCTCTTCCTTTCATTTTTTTCTTCTTTCTTTTCCTTTCCTTTTTTTCCTTCTCTTCCTTTCTCCTTCCTCTTCCTCCTTCCTCTTCCCGCTCTCCTTTCTCTTCCTCTTTTTCCTCTTCCTTTCCCTTTTTTCCTCTTTCCCTTCCTTTCCTTTTTTTTTCCTCCTCTTCCTCCTGCCTCTTCCTCCTCCTCTTCCCTCTCTCCTCCCTCTCCCTGTCCCTGTTTGTCCCGCAGAAGGCGGAGAACGCCGAGGGTCAGGCTCCGGCCATCGGCCCCGACGGGGAGGTGAGTCCGGGCTCGTCCCGGGAAGGGAATTCCCAATCCCTGCTCTCTCCACCCTGGATTCCAGGGCCGGCAATTCCCGGTTTTTCCCGGTGTTTTGCAGCCACTGGACGAGACGAGCCAGATGAGCGACCTGCCAGTGAAGGTGATCCACGTGGAGAGCGGGAAGATCCTGACGGGGACGGACGCGCCCAAGGCCGGGCAGCTGGAGGCCTGGCTGGAAATGAATCCAGGGTCAGGGAAAAATGGGAATGGGAATGGGAATGGGAATGGGAATGGGGGCAGCTGGAGGCCTGGCTGGAAATGAATCCAGGGTCAGGGAAAAATGGGAATGGGAATGGGAATGGGAATGGGAATGGGGGCAGCTGGAGGCCTGGCTGGAAATGAATCCAGGGTCAGGGAAAAATGGGAATGGGAATGGGAATGGGGGGCTGGGAATGGGAATGTGGGGATGGGAGTGGGAATGAGGGAATGGAAATGGGAATGAGGAGCTGGAAATGGGAATGAGGGCATTGGGAATGCTGAGGATGGGAAAGGGAATGAAGGGGCTGGGAATGGGGGCACTGGGAATACCAGAGATGGGAACACTGGGAGCTGGGGGGAGAATGAGGGTCTGGGAATGGGAATGAGGAGCTGGGAATGAGGGTCTGGGAATGGGAATGGGAATGAGGAGCTGGGAATGGGGGGCTGGAAATGGGAATGGGAATGAGGAGCTGGGAATGCCGGTCCCAGCAGGGAAGGAGAGGCTGGGAAT